CTCCGTCCTGCCCCCTCCCCCTTGCGAGCCAAGCGTTTCTCTCTTTCCGATCTCGTCCTTTTTCATCACCCTTTTCCTTCCTCCTCTTCCACCGGTAATTCAACCACCGGAGGACTCACCGTCCGTAGGGCTACGACTCCGTGACGCGTTCCTCCTGGCCCTCTTTGTGTCCCTGCGTTTCCCTTTTCTCATTCTTTCTTTTTCCCCTTTTTTTTCCTTCCACCGTATCGGTGGAACGGAATGCCAGGACCTGGAATTTGTAGGGCGCATCCTCGGATCCGTTCGATACGCGCGACCGGCCGGACGCCGTGGATCCTTCGAGGGTCGCTCTAGCGCCGCGAGGACGAGGAAGAGCCGCGGTAGAGCCGGTACGAGAGCGCTGCGCAATCGACGGTGCGCGCCGGTGCCGGGAGACAGCCGACTCTTGCGGCTCGCGGCGCGCATTCGCGCTCCGCACGCCGTTGCGTGCGCATCCGTTTTTCGGCTGGACGTTCGCTGGCTGGTCTTCGACGATGCCAGTTCTCGCGGCGATCTCGTTTACTCGGGGTTCCACATTCGGAATTCTTCCGAGACGATTCGGCTTGGTTGTGCTTCTCGGGACGTGTCATGCACACGCATTTCTTTCGCCTTTTCCTTTTTGGCTTTGGCATTTTAGTTTGTTACTGGCCACCCGTGGGCTGGACACTTTGAGGCAGAATGTGCGATGTTCGAGGGTACGCGGGCGTCTTCTCGCGAACGCGTCACCGAGCTGTGCCATTCTTCAATAAAATTTATGTAATTTCGGTAGACGTTGATTTCAGTTCTTTCAGGAACTTTTGAGGTAGTTGATTTTCATGGAATCGATTGTTCGTTTCGGGTCGGTTTGGAAGTGAAATGATAATGGTACCTTTCAATAATGGTTGCTTAAGGTATATGAATACTTGAATAGGAATGTACGACAGGTTTCGAATTAAAATGGTTATATATATATATATAATGTACGCATGTCTTAATGTGTAAACTAGCTACGTCTGTCAATTAAGATATACTTTCAAACTCTGTCCGAAAGTTTAGGTTTCTGCAAGGGGAATTCAGCTCTAACATTATCCTAAAAGCTTGGCAACGCAGACTACTCCGGTTTTCATTGGCCCATGCGTTCTCTATCGTTGAATGATTCATGGACCGTGTATCCTACGCCTCAGGACGGTGTCGAAATTATGTTAAGGTCTATCCGGCGTTTCGTTGCGAGATATTTGGCTGCGGGATTGGTAAATCCCGTTGGATACCGAATCCGCTGACTCACTATCGGTCATCGTGTCGATAAGCATATGCCGGAGCATAGGATTCTATATCCCACCGGTTGAATTTCTTAGAACATCTCTGGTCAGGGACCCTTCCTTGAATTTTCTTTTTAAGGCGAATCGATCTCTGTCAAGGGATTCTGTTTATTTGCTTTTTAGCTCCGACACTCGCCGTTGTAGACTTTCTACGACCATCGGGGATTTTTGTGGAGTCCCCGGAAATTTTCAGATTCTCAGACCTCATGCTTGGTCGTTGCTGTTCGGGCCGAGTTTCTCTGAGTCGTCATGTTAACTTATATGTATAATCAAGAAATGACATTCAATCTGCATATTTGTAATTTTTATTAATTCTTTGAATTTCCTCTTTCTTTCGTTATTTAGTAATTTCCGTATTTCTTCTACTTTATATATGTCTTCCATAATTTTCAGTAATCTATTTACTATATTTTATAATTAATTATATAAGTTAATTCGTCTATGTACCATTCCTTATTATAAAATATTACAATATTATTTTATGAATATTGCAATAGAAAATATTAGAAAGCTTTTACGATATGCAACATTGTGAATACGTTCACATTGTTAATGTAGATATTGTACAGATAACAACGGAAAAGGGCAAGAATATAATGATGCCACTGTTGGAGCAATTCAACTCATTTCTCTACTAAAAAAAAAAGACCATCATCGTCCGTCGCAACATGATCTCAAGTCCCAGGATCCTCGAACAACTAATCAATCGGAATGCCACGAAACGATTCAGGCTAAAAGCAAAAAAATCCCACTTCGAAATACTCCTCAGACGTCAGTTCAACGACTTCCATTTCACGGTTAATCCCGTCCTCTATGAGTCGGCTTTCACGATCCGCAGGAAGCCACTTGACACCTGCATCGCGTCTCGATTCCACGCGTCGCGCGGCCACGTCCGAAAGGGGTCTGCGTGCACGTCCTCTAATATATATTTGCGAGGCTTGCGCGGAGGTGGAGAGGTAGGAGTTCAATCCCCGAGTTGGAGGCGATAGAGGACCCGACCGTAAACCAGCGGACGGGTTCGACTAGTCCAGTGATGCACAACCGCGTGCAGTCTGTTTTAACTCCTTATCTTATCACTGTAATTCAAAACTGTGCTTGATGGCGCTACATATTTCGTCGATAATAATTTCGCAGAAAAATAAAGGAATTCTATCCTCGGTCTGTGTCTAGGTTTACTCTATAGAATACCAATTAGTAAAATAATATTCAGTAAAAATCAAGACAGTCGACGTATATTCATACTTGTAGATCTGTTAGTAATATTCACAAGGGTTAATCGTTTGCCTTGCAATATCATGACTCGCGACGAAAGTTTCGAAGGAATTAATGAATTATCGTTCGTTGATTATCAGAGTAACTGTAGACACAGGACAAACATAGAATTTGCTTTTATAAATTATTAAATATTTTGAGCGAGGGTGCAATTGTGAAAGAAATCACAGGGGTTCAAATTTCCATGGGTCTAAAATCGAGGACTGCGGATGAACTTCACTTTTTCCTGGTTAACAGTTCGTAAGAGTAGGTGGGAGTGGATTGATTGCATCGAGCCGCGACAAATACATGATGTTCCGCGCGGCCCTTAACGCGCAAAAGGTTGTGCATCACTGGACCAGCCTGTTCTCGAGCGTCCCGTGGATATTCGAGACGTCGTTTCCAGCTGGGTTCACCTTGGGTTCGGTTCGGTTCAACCGGCAGATGGCGGGGAATTCGGTTCAGCGAACCGCAGCAGCAAGCCGACGTAACCGTCTCACCTGGGCGGCGGTGTTTCAAGTGTTTCGCGTTCAACGCGTCGCGTCGGCCGCCGCCGCGGATCGGTGCCATTGACACTGACATAATAACGCGGCCAGTCACGACGCGCTAGCTGAAGCGGTGAAATCGACGCGACGCCTTGGTTAAACCCAACCCAGAAACCCGGACTGCTATTATGCGTCTCTGACGAGAATACCGGCGAAAGGAATGCGAGTCTAATTGATCAGTTTTCATCTATTCGCATCACATCTTTTACACTAATCTACTGTTTGCTAATATGGTCATACGTAACTATGCAAAAAGCCCGAGTCCTCGGAGCTCCGAGGTTGAATCTTAAAGGCTGAGTCTTGAAAGCTTAGAGTTCTATGAGGCTTCAGTCTTTGAAGTTTCAAGGGTCAACTTTAATGCTGAGTCTTGAAAGCTTAGAGTTCTATAAAGCTTGCGTCCCTGAAGTTTTAAGACTCAATTTTAAAGGCTAAGTCTGAAAACTTAGAGTTCTATGAGGCTTCAGTCTTTGAAGTTTCAAGGGTCAACTTTAATGCTGAGTCTTGAAAGCTTAGAGTTCTATAAAGCTTGCGTCCCTGAAGTTTTAAGACTCAATTTTAAAGGGTAAGTCTGAAAACTTAGAGTTCTATGAGGCTTCAGTATTATAAGTTTCTAGGTACAAGCTTAATGCTGAGTCTTGAAGGCTTAGACTTCTATAAAGCTTGAATCTCCGAAGCTTTAAGGCTCAGTCTGAAAGCTTAGAGTTCTATAAAGTCCTTAAAACCTGAGTCCTTAATGTCTAGCGTTCCATGAACCTAGAGTTCTCAAGCATTAAGGCTCAACCTTAAAGGCTGAATCTTCCAAGCTTCAAGACTCAACCTTGACGCTTTGAAAGCTTGATCTAATCCTAGCGGCGATGCTCTTCGAGCATAGTATTCAGCGTTGAAGACTTTAGCTTCCACAGTTCAAGGCTTCAGCCCTAAGAGCTCGAGCTTTAAGGCAAGATTCGAGGCTACAGCTGTCAAGATTCTAGTCTTAGGACTGATTTTCACGACACAACCCGTAATCGATCAAAACTACAAGCAAAAAATACCCAGCGAAAAG